GCGGACTGTCCAAACGGTCGGTTAACTGGCGATCTGTCCAAGCGGTTAACTGGCGGACTGTCCAAGCGGTTAACTGGCGATCTGTCCAAGCGGTTAACTGGCGATCTGTCCAAACGGTTAACTGGCGATCTGTCCTAACGGTCGGTTAACTGGCGATCTGTCCAAACGGTTAACTGGCGATCTGTCCTAACGGTCGGTTAACTGGCGATCTGTCCAAATGGTTAACTGGCGATCTGTCCAAATGGTTAACTGGCGATCTGTCCAAGCGGTTAACTGGCGACAAGACCTGAGGATGAAGAAGAGAAGACAGACTAACTCTATTACATTGCTCACAGCTTCCAAGCGAGAAATGAACATTTACCACCATGAAGTGCAGCAGTGATCATCATTTAAACCAGTTTAATAAATAATGGAGCAAAAGGCGTCGACACACTGGAACAACCATCTAGAAATGAGTAAAAATGTCTTAAAGGAACCGTATTTACCCTTCAGCAGGTAAATGAGACAACGAGCCAATGAGATCAGTCGTTTTACTCTAGAAATAAGATAATTAGATAACATGCTCTTACAATAAGACAATGCCTTATTTTATATGTAAATTGTCTTGTTCTATTGGCAAAATGTCTCTGTAATTGAAGAACAAAAGCATTTAATTTTTTCCATTGAATAGGTTCAGTTCTGTGCTAAATAAATATGTTGCTAAACGCAGTAAAGCATTGAGTTGTTTTATTTTAAAGGATTATAAAGTTTAAGTCATGTTGGGGTTTTTCTGTTCCTCCTGTCCCTCTCCCCTCAGGAGGCAGCCCAGCTTTGTAGGCCCCCGCCCCCACCCAGAGACACATGTCTACATGTCTATCAATACCTCTGGGTTTATCTATTGTTGAATATCTGCTCCTTTAGGCCTGCTGTGGATGAGTGCAGGCAGGAAATGAAACGATGGCGTTTGGGCTTTACTGGCCGCTTCATTTCCTGCCTGTAGCGTGGAGCCTCAGCAGGCCGCCTGTCTTCTGGACCGGCTCCAACACGTCTTGTGCAAGTTGTTGTTTTTTCCAGTACTTCCTGATCTCCTAGCAGTTTCATTTTGTGGCGTAACAGTGAGCTGTCAGCGGTGAATTTCCTTTAGTTCTCACTTAGACTGCAGCTCTAATGTTTTGCTCTTCATCAAACTGATCTGGGAAGGGAAAAAGTGATGAATTGATTTTATTATGGCTGCAGTTCTGCTGAGCAGCACAGACCAACCAAACTAGAGCAGCACAGACCAACCAAACTAGAGCAGCACAGACCAACCAAACTAGAGCAGCAGAGACCAACCAAACTAGAGCAGCACAGACCAACCAAACTAGAGCAGCACAGACCAACCAAACTAGAGCAGCACAGACCAACCAAACTAGAGCAGCACAGACCAACCAAACTAGAGCAGCACAGACCAACCAAACTAGAGCAGCACAGACCAACCAAACTAGAGCAGCACAGACCAACCAAACTAGAGCAGCACAGGCCAACCAAACTAGAGCAGCACAGACCAACCAAACTAGAGCAGCAGAGACCAACCAAACTAGAGCAGCACAGACCAACCAAACTAGAGCAGCACAGACCAACCAAACTAGAGCAGCACAGACCAACCAAACTAGAGCAGCACAGACCAACCAAACTAGAGCAGCACAGACCATCCAAACTAGAGCAGCAGAGACCAACCAAACTAGAGCAGCACAGACCAACCAAACTAGAGCAGCACAGACCAACCAAACTAGAGCAGCACAGACCAACCAAACTAGAGCAGCACAGACCAACCAAACTAGAGCAGCACAGACCAACCAAACTAGAGCAGCACAGACCATCCAAACTAGAGCAGCACAGACCATCCAAACTAGAGCAGCACAGACCATCCAAACTAGAGCAGCACAGACCAACCAAACTAGAGCAGCACAGACCAACCAAACTAGAGCAGCACAGACCAACCAAACTAGAGCAGCACAGACCAACCAAACTAGAGCAGCACAGACCATCCAAACTAGAGCAGCACAGACCAACCAAACTAGAGCAGCACAGGCCAACCAAACTAGAGCAGCACAGACCAACCAAACTAGAGCAGCACAGACCGACCAAACTAGAGCAGCACAGACCAACCAAACTAGAGCAGCACAGACCAACCAAACTAGAGCAGCACAGACCAACCAAACTAGAGCAGCAGAGACCAACCAAACTAGAGCAGCACAGACCAACCAAACTAGAGCAGCACAGACCAACCAAACTAGAGCAGCACAGACCAACCAAACTAGAGCAGCACAGACCAACCAAACTAGAGCAGCACAGACCAACCAAACTAGAGCAGCACAGACCAACCAAACTAGAGCAGCACAGACCAACCAAACTAGAGCAGCAGAGACCAACCAAACTAGAGCAGCACAGACCAACCAAACTAGAGCAGCACAGACCATCCAAACTAGAGCAGCACAGACCGACCAAACTAGAGCAGCAGAGACCGACCAAACTAGAGCAGCACAGACCAACCAAACTAGAGCAGCACAGACCGACCAAACTAGAGCAGCACAGACCAACCAAACTAGAGCAGCACAGACCAACCAAACTAGAGCAGCAGAGACCAACCAAACTAGAGCAGCACAGACCAACCAAACTAGAGCAGCACAGACCAACCAAACTAGAGCAGCACAGACCAACCAAACTAGAGCAGCACAGACCAACCAAACTAGAGCAGCACAGACCAACCAAACTAGAGCAGCACAGACCAACCAAACTAGAGCAGCACAGACCAACCAAACTAGAGCAGCACAGACCAACCAAACTAGAGCAGCACAGACCAACCAAACTAGAGCAGCACAGACCAACCAAACTAGAGCAGCACAGACCAACCAAACTAGAGCAGCACAGACCAACCAAACTAGAGCAGCACAGACCAACCAAACTAGAGCAGCACAGACCAACCAAACTAGAGCAGCACAGACCAACCAAACTAGAGCAGCACAGACCAACCAAACTAGAGCAGCACAGACCAACCAAACTAGAGCAGCACAGACCAACCAAACTAGAGCAGCACAGACCATCCAAACTAGAGCAGCACAGACCAACCAAACTAGAGCAGCAGAGACCAACCAAACTAGAGCAGCACAGACCAACCAAACTAGAGCAGCACAGACCAACCAAACTAGAGCAGCACAGACCAACCAAACTAGAGCAGCACAGACCAACCAAACTAGAGCAGCACAGACCAACCAAACTAGAGCAGCACAGACCAACCAAACTAGAGCAGCACAGACCAACCAAACTAGAGCAGCACAGACCAACCAAACTAGAGCAGCACAGACCAACCAAACTAGAGCAGCACAGACCAACCAAACTAGAGCAGCACAGACCATCCAAACTAGAGCAGCACAGACCAACCAAACTAGAGCAGCAGAGACCAACCAAACTAGAGCAGCACAGACCAACCAAACTAGAGCAGCACAGACCAACCAAACTAGAGCAGCACAGACCAACCAAACTAGAGCAGCACAGACCAACCAAACTAGAGCATTCTATGCTTGTTTTCATCTGCTGGTGAAGTCCAGCTGTCAGGTTTGGCTCTATCAGTGTTCTCTTGTAGAACCAGAAGGCAGAGCAGACTGGCAGGTCTGTGACCAGAACTGAGCAGAGAACCAGACCCTGGCCTAGTTAACTGGAACCAGTTGGAGTGTCGTGGTTCCAGTTAGCACCTGGTTAGCTTAGCCTTTAGCCTCGGTACGGCTCTGCGCTGATGTTTTCATGGCTCTGGTCCAGCAGCATGGCTTCCCTCACCGCACCAAGCTGGATACTTTCAAATGAACTCGCCTCATTGTCAGCTGACCACTTGGGGGCGCTCTTTATTAAAGCCTTCATTTCAGCCATGTGTCCTGAGTGGAATCCAAACTGAACAGACCCGATGAAACGGTACCAGTCACCGTCCTGCCGTCCCTCTCCTGAAGCTTCAAGCAAACGGCTGTGGTTCTGTTCAGGTCTGCCTGATGAGCAGTTCTAGCTAGAACTGGAGCGTACCTGGTCTGGATCCATGGCTGCTCGGTCTCAGCGGATCCTCTCTGCTCCTAATGAAGATCAGGGGTGTAATTATGAGGATAAGGAGACAGAAGCTCTGATTGGTGGATCCAGCTACCGAGGCCGGGTCCACGTATCCCAGGAGGGTTCCTCTGAAGCAGCAACACATGGGACCGCTAGCGGGCCTCGGTGAACCGGGTCAGAGGAGTCGGCTTAGCTTAGCGGAGGAAGGAGGCTCAGATCTTCACCTTTTGGCTACGTCCTGCTGAGAAGGTTCTGATCTAATTCTGATGCTGGAACCAGACCCTGAATGGATCAGAACTTCTTTCAAAGACACCAAATGGAGATCAGTCCAGTGATCCGGGTCCCAGTCTGGTGCTGCCTGAGGACTGGACCTGGATGCTGCTGGTCCCAGACTGGGCCAGGCTGATGTGGTTGGTTTCTGACTGATGAACTGGCTGCTGATGCAAAGGTTCTGGAGTGATTGGCCTGCAGCCCTGATCCATCACCGCTCACCTGCTCATCAAGATCATTGCTGATTGTCCTCCATCCCCTCGTCCTCTCTCCCGTTGTCCTTCGTCCCTTCGCCATCTCCTCATGTTCTGTCTCCTTGTTCTCCGTCTCCTCGTCTGTCATCTATCATTTCTTTATCCAAATCCCCTCATCCACGTCTCCTCATCTGTCCTCTCCTCGTCTATCGTCTCGTCCGTCCTCTCCTCGTCTATCGTCCGGTCGGTGTCTGACTCCTGTTAGATGTGATGGGACCAAACCTGAGGGCCTGTAGTTGGTTGAACTGGGATGATGTTGCCGATGCAGGGAATGGTCCAGCGATGGCAGAAGCTTCTCCTTCACTAGAAGGTCCTAAATGCTGAGAGGAGGAGAGGAACCCTGTCCACCTCCAGCCAGTAGGACGTTGGATGCTCTGACAGACTGTAACCTTCAGTGACCTGCTTGCTTTGGTCTGTTGTTCTCAGGAGCCGTTTGAGGATGGCTTCCCTAACGGCGACGAGCTGACGCCGGCTGAAGAGGCCGCAGCCAAGGAGGCGGCCGAGCCCAAAGGAGTGGTCAAGTTCGGCTGGATCAAGGGGGTTCTGGTAAGCCACCTGCTGTTTGCAGAACCTTTTGGGTTTTTATGGTTCCTGAGGCATTATCAGTGCGGTTCTGATCGGGTCTCTAAGGTGCTTTACATGGATGAATTTCCTCTGAAGGTGTTCTGGTTGCTAAGTTAACCCAAACCTCTCTGCAGTCCTTCATGGTCTCACTCAGATGTTTCCTCCAGGCTCCTGTTCTGACCTGGGATCAGTCTAAACTCTGGATCTGTGCATATTTCTATGCTCAGTCTCCTGATTCGGGTCAGTCATCTTTCTGTTCCACACCTTCAGGAGCTCAGAGGATGAGAAGGACTTCTAGTTCTGAACCTTTGGCTTTAACAGACTGATGTTTTTCCAAAGAAACACATAGAGCTTTTCCACCATCGCAGCAAAGCCCATTCTGGTTCCCCAACATCTATTCCAACCAGACGAATGAGGTTGGAATGAGGCGTTGGCAGCGCTGAGTGGCTGGTCCTTCAGAGGAATGGGAAACCAAACCGATCCGTAGATCTGCTCCTCCAAAAGGTGGAGAATGTCTGAACTTCATCAGACGAAGCAAAGAAAAGGCCGTTCCCTCAGCGCTGGCCGGTGCGGCGCGCAGCGACCCGGCCGCCGTGTCCCAGAGATATCCTTAATCGGTGTAAATGAAGCCGGCGCTCGGATCGTTCTGTAGGTCACACTGACCCAGAGCCTCCAGTTTCCAGGCAGGACACTGAGGATGGGAGGTTCTGCCTGGTGGCAGGAATGGTGACTGACCCAGAACAGGAGTTCTGTCTGATCCAGGCGTCAGCAGAGCTGCAGTGGTTCTGCTGACGGTTTCTGTCCCCTGTCAGAACCGACGGGGGTGCAGGTGTCTCTAGAAGCGCTCCAGTCTGTGCTTCTCTCTGCAGGTCCGCTGCATGTTGAACATCTGGGGAGTGATGCTGTTCATCCGTATGACCTGGATCGTGGGCCAGGCAGGGATCGGTGAGTTGGAGCTGTTCCTGTTCAGCTCGCTGCGGGCGTCCCCCTCAGGGACGGACAGAGGACGCGCTCTGCAAGGTCCCAGCTTAAAGACGTGAACGACTCTCCGAGTCCGAACAGTTAGAGACGTCCACATCTAGAGGCCAGCAAACATCCCGCTGATGGAGACCGACCTGACCAGAGCCGTCCTCTGGCTGAGGGCTGAGGGGGTCTGCGGACAGCCGCTAACGGGGAACCTTCTGTTTTGTCTTGCAGCTCTAGCCTGTGTGATCGTTGGCATGGCAACCGTGGTCACCACCATCACCGGCCTCTCCACCTCTGCCATTGCCACCAACGGATTCGTGCGAGGAGGTATTTCTGACTTTGTTCTGCAGAATGGCTGCTGTGCTGCTGAATGAAGGGCCCAGATGCTCCCAGGGTCTGTCCTCTGGCCGGTCCAAAGGTCCATCCAGCAGACTCTGGTCCTCCTGTCCTACCTTTCAGTCCCTGGTCCATCTAACATGGACCAAACAGCTGAATGAGCTCCATGGGAGGTCTGCTGGTGACCCAGATAGGCTCCTCCCAGGACGGCGGCAGGAGCACATGGGGTCTTCAGGACCTGGGAGAGCGCCGCATACAGTAACTCCCAGTTCCTCGGATGACTTTTCTGTCCCGTTACCATGGCGACAGCGTTGGTTATGGATGCTGCTCGGTTCTGGAGGAACAGAGGTTCTCCAGAGCTGATGGTGTTCTGAACCATCTTGGTAGGCCGTGCCGTTCCTAAAGCGCTGAACCGACATGGAGCAGGTCGTTCAGAAATGGACGGCAGGACAGATCAGCTGATCATTGGGTGTTCCACCAGAGTCGGACACGTTGACCTGAGCTCAGAGGTTCTGGAGGTCCAAACCGGGCCAGACTTTTAGCACCGTGTCTCTGCAAGAGCATTTATAGATGCACTGAGACTGGGATCCTGATGGGTCTCTGGTAGGAGGGTCTTCCTGGACACAAACCCATCCGATGCGGCGGCGTGGGAAAGGAAGACGCGTGTCATTAAAATGGAGGAAGGGGTTGGCCCGTCTAGATGACAAAGCAATCCCTCCTCTAGCGTTTCTCTGGCTGCTACTCTACTGGCAGAACCAGAACCAGGCTGCTGCTGCTTCCTGTTAGACGGAGGTTTCCTCTCCACTGTCGCAGCATGCATGCTTGGTGTGAGGGATAGCTAGAGCCAGTGAATGTCTGCTGGAAATAACCTGAAGTGAATTCCTACAGGGGGGGCCTACTACCTGATCTCCAGGAGTCTGGGACCAGAGTTCGGAGGCTCTATTGGCCTGATCTTCGCCTTCGCCAACGCCGTGGCCGTAGCCATGTACGTGGTCGGCTTTGCTGAGACTGTGGTGGAACTTCTCCGAGTAAGTCTGTCCCCTCTGCTCCCAGCCATCAGTGCATCTGTGTGTACCAACGGTCCTGATTGTGTGTTAGGGCGTGGATGCGCTGATGACAGATGAAATCAACGACATCCGGATCATCGGCACCATCACCATAATCCTTCTCCTGGGCATCTCTGTGGCAGGGATGGAGTGGGAGGCCAAGGTGGGACTTCCTGTGGGTCGGTTTATCTTCACCTCCTGGCGTGAGCGACTAATGGCTTCTGCTTCTGTCCTCAGGCCCAGATCTTCCTGCTGATTGTCCTCATCACCGCCATTTTCAACTACTTTATTGGATCCTTCATTCCTGTGAAGTCAAAGGAACCTCGAGGCTTCTTTAGATACGACGGTGCGTCAGGAACCGCCCGGCTCTCTGCCGTCAGGAGCCGCCCGGCTCTCTGCCGTCAGGAGCCGCCCGGCTCTCTGCCGTCAGGAGCCGCCCGGCTCTCTGCCGTCAGGAGCCGCCCGGCTCTCTGCCGTCAGGAGCCGCCCGGCTCTCTGCCGTCAGCAGCCGCCCGGCTCTCTGCCGTCAGCAGCCGCCCGGCTCTCTGCCGTCAGGAGCCGCCCGGCTCTCTGCCGTCAGGAGCCGCCCGGCTCTCTGCCGTCAGGAGCCGCCCGGCTCTCTGCCGTCAGGAGCCGCCCGGCTCTCTGCCGTCAGGAGCCGCCCGGCTCTCTGCCGTCAGGAGCCGCCCGGCTCTCTGCCGTCAGGAGCCGCCCGGCTCTCTGCCGTCAGGAGCCGCCCGGCTCTCTGCCGTCAGGAGCCGCCCGGCTCTCTGCCGTCAGGAGCCGCCCGGCTCTCTGCCGTCAGGAGCCGCCCGGCTCTCTGCCGTCAGGAGCCGCCCGGCTCTCTGCCGTCAGGAGCCGCCCGGCTCTCTGCCGTCAGGAGCCGCCCGGCTCTCTGCCGTCAGCAGCCGCCCGGCTCTCTGCCGTCAGCAGCCGCCCGGCTCTCTGCCGTCAGGAGCCGCCCGGCTCTCTGCCGTCAGGAGCCGCCCGGCTCTCTGCCGTCAGGAGCCGCCCGGCTCTCTGCCGTCAGGAGCCGCCCGGCTCTCTGCCGTCAGCAGCCGCCCGGCTCTCTGCCGTCAGGAGCCGCCCGGCTCTCTGCCGTCAGGAGCCGCCCGGCTCTCTGCCGTCAGGAGCCGACCGGCTCTCTGCCGTCAGGAGCCGCCCGGCTCTCTGCCGTCAGCAGCCGCCCGGCTCTCTGCCGTCAGGAACCGTCCGGCTCTCTGCCGTCAGGAGCCGCCCGGCTCTCTGCCGTCAGGAGCCGCCCGGCTCTCTGCCGTCAGGAGCCGCCCGGCTCTCTGCCGTCAGCAGCCGCCCGGCTCTCTGCCGTCAGGAGCCGCCCGGCTCTCTGCCGTCAGCAGCCGCCCGGCTCTCTGCCGTCAGGAGCCGCCCGGCTCTCTGCCTCCATGCTCGATGCGCCTCCTTTAACCTCCTCTGCTTTCATTGGCTGCAGGTGACCTCATGTGGGAGAACATGGGGCCGGACTTCCGAGGAGAGACGTTCTTCTCAGTCTTCGCCATCTTCTTCCCTGCAGCAACCGGTATCCTGGCGGGGGCCAATATTTCCGGGGACCTTGCAGTAAGTCGGACCCCTGGACCCCCCATATTAGATCCTGATTGGCTCCTTCCTCCTGTCCCCATAGTTCATGAAATGCTCTGGATGCATCTGCTTCCATGACAGTAGTTAGAAGTCATGAATTCGTCCTCCTGCTGAAAGCGTTGTCTGGTTGTTGCAGGACCCTCAGATGGCGATCCCCAAAGGAACTCTGCTGGCCATCCTGATCACAGGAATAGTCTACATGGGGGTGGCCATCTCCACAGGTAGGCCCGCTCACCTTTGGCTGTGCAGACATACCTCTCATGGCGCTGAGGATGACCTCGCTCCTTCTGCCTCCAGGCTCCTGCATTGTGAGGGACGCCACTGGAAATGTGAATGACACCCTCACTGGAGACTTCCTGAAAAACTGCACGAGCGCTGCCTGCAAGTTTGGCTACGACTTCTCCAGCTGTAATATATCTGAAAAACCCTGCCGCTACGGACTCCACAATGACATGCAGGTACGACCCCCTCTGACCTCTGACCTCTAGCTGCTGGTGACCAGAGGTTCACTGCCTTACAATGAGAGCAGCTGGAAAAAGCTTCATATGTATTAGCGAAGGATGCTAGTACATATTAGCATCCTTGGGGGGTCATGGCTCAGGGTTGACTGAAGGTGTGTTTTCTCCGTGCAGGTGATGAGCGTGGTTTCAGGGTTCTCCCCCATCATCTCCGCTGGGATCTTCTCTGCCACGCTGTCCTCTGCGCTGGCCTCCTTAGTGAGCGCGCCCAAAGTTTTCCAGGTGACGCCGCGTCCTGATAAACCCGCCGCCCGTCTGCGGCCCAGAAGCCTAAAGCTGTTGTTTTGTTGCAGGCTTTGTGTAAAGACAACATCTACCCTTACATCGGCGTGTTTGCCAAAGGGTACGGGAAGAACAACGAGCCGCTGCGGGGGTACTTCCTGACCTTCGGCATCGCTCTGGGCTTCATCCTCATCGGTACGGCCGCGCTCTGTTCCTGACGTCCATCAGTAACCACAGCTGGACAGAACATCTGGGTTAGCCTGTTAGCAGTTAGCTGGGCCAGTTTAGAGGACAGAAATGGGGGTGTGCTGGGAGCAGAAATCGTTTGAAACGCGTTCCCTTTGGAGATGATAAAACTGAGCTGGGATCAGATTGATTAGGAGTTAAAAGCTTCTTGCAGGATATTTGTGAGCAGATGTTGGTCTGTGCTGGATCCCATGGAGTCCCTGAACGCACCGATCTGCTGGGCCTCCTTTAGATCCTGGAGATCCAGATTAAAACCCAGATGTTGTTCCATGGCTGAGCTTTTCATTGGAAGTTAAAGTTTATTATAGTTAGTTATAAACACATCCTAGCTGCCACTCTTTGTCTAAACTTCTGTTTTTCTCTCTTGCTTCCAGCGGAGCTGAACACCATCGCACCGATCATCTCCAACTTCTTCCTGGCTTCCTATGCCTTGATCAATTACTCGGTGTTCCACGCATCGCTGGCCAACTCTCCAGGTAAGCTCAGGGAGCCAGGCGGGACCGCCGACGCTAAACCTGTTTTACAAAGTCAGGATTTTAAACTAAAGGAGGTTTTCAGAAAGTTGAAGCAATGCTGTGTGACCTTTGACCCCAGCATTGCTCTGTGTGACCCAGAGCTCCACTTCCTGTCAGTCTGAGCTAACTAAGCTAACAGCTGTTAGCTCTGACCCTCCGCGGATCGTGGAGGATTAATGCTGCCTTCATGGACCATTGTAATAATGGTAAATACCGAAAGTCGCTCAGGTCGTAATTATTCTGATTCCTGAGATGACCTTTGACCTTTCCCCATGGTGGAGAGCACAGGAAGGATTGTGTGCGGTGAATTCTGCATCGTTAAGCTCCTCTCCTGTTGGGGTTGTAGCCTCCAAGATGGCGGGATAGAAATATGGAAATAGATGGATCAACATTTAAACTGACCGTCATTGTTTATTTGATCAGCAGTCAGTGGATGCATCAGATGAATCCTCTTCATCCTGTAGATGAAGCAGGAAGTCTAGAACTGTCCAATCAGCTGGTCAGGATCACCTTAAACTCAAGGTTTCCTCAGGTGGAACAGATCTTCTGTCCCTCCTGCAGATCTGCTGCTCCAAACCCGTCTGATACCCGGCGGGGTCATTTAGAGGCGGAGCTAACCTGGGACTGACTTCAGTCACTCAATGGGTTTTAATAAAGCAGTGACTGAGCGATGGCTGATGTTCAGCTGCAGAGCGCGTTTCCGTCCTGCAGTTCTCATTAAATCATTAAACCCCAGAGGGACGCATGGAAAGGTTTTCCTAGCAGGAAGTGTTTTAGGGAAGCATGTTGTTTGTTGCTCCACTAAGTTCTCTCCTTTCTCCTCCTTCCACACCGACTCCTTTCCAGACCTGCAGGTACAGAACCTTTTGTTTGTCACCTCCTCATGGCTTTAGCTCCACCTGGAGCTTCAGGGAGAGGCCGCCGTAGACCCATCCTGTAACCAGCAGTTATCCACCATCACTAAAGTCTGTTAGCTTAGCGGTTAGCATGTAGCCCACCTGTAACTCTCTAATGGGCTTCTAACCTCCGCTGTTTAACCCGGTCCCCCCGCTAACGGCGCCGTGTTCCTGTACTAAATGACGCCGTGGGCCGGGTCGTGCTGTGTGTGACTAACGGCTGTCGTTGCTGCAGGCTGGCGGCCCAGCTTCAGGTACTACAACATGTGGGTGGCCCTGGCCGGCGCCGTGCTGTGCTGCGTAGTGATGTTCGTCATCAACTGGGCGGCGGCGCTCCTCACCAACGTCATCGTCATGGGACTCTACATCTATGTGTGCCACAAGAAGCCAGGTGAGCACCCCACCCCCCACCCTCCCTCCTGAGGCTGTGGAAAGGTTGGAGGGCCTGCAGCTGAATGGCGGCGCTGCTCTTTAGCCTGAACACACACAGAGCGGCCGTTCCTCAGCCTCCAGCGCCGCGGGGGTCACATGACCTTTAGCACGCTGCTCTGACCCATAAACACGTCTGCTGACTGCATTTGTCCGTCTGTGCAGATGTGAACTGGGGCTCGTCCACGCAGGCCCTGACCTACCAGCAGGCGCTGAGCCACACGCTGCACCTCAGCGCCGTGGAGGACCACGTCAAGAACTTCAGGTACCACGTCTGCAGCATGAACCTCCGCTCTGGAAAGGTTGACGGGGACTTCCTGTTGGTTTCCTGAGCGAGCGGCTCCATCAGACCGCCATAGGGAGATAATTAACCGGCTGTGGGGTGATTCCCTGATGTCTGCCTGCTGTTGTTCTGGACCGGCTGCTCGCCATGTGGTTTGACTGTTACCAATGGCAGCAAACCCAGCGGGGATTAAAGCCCTCTGATGCTGCTCCTCTCTTTGATGTGCTGTTGCCGTGTTAACATGAAGTTACAGAAATCCGGATTAAAAAGCCGCTGATCTTCAGCCGTTAAAGACGTTAAACTAACCAGAGTTTTCTCCCCTGCAGGCCCCAGTGCTTGGTGATGACCGGTTACCCCAACTCCCGGCCTGCCCTCCTGGACCTGGTTCACTCCTTCACCAAGAATGTGGGCCTGATGATCTGTGGCCACGTCCGCATGGTGAGCCCCGCCGAGGCGTAGGGCCTGGCGGCCATGTTCAGGTGGAGCAGCTGCTCTCTTTTAGCCTCAGACCTTCTGGTTCTGGCTGCAGGCGCTGATTTCCAGCATTCCTGATCCCATCGGGTCCTGAATCCGAGCGGATAATGGACCAGGTGTGAGTCCCCCCCCCCTCCTGGTTGGATGAATGGACGCTCTGTTCAGGCCTGAAGGCTCCGGTTTCCCTCCCTCCCATTAGGGCTGTGGAGGAGTTCCAGTTTAATGGTGGTTCAGCTCCCAGTTAATGGCGTTACTCTTTCCTGGCTGAAGGCCTGGATTGTTCCCCCTCCCAGTAAAACAGGCTGACGTGTTTCTTCCACTCATGTCCCCCCTGAGCTGCAGCAGTGGGGGCTGGCGGTGGAGCAGGTAGAGCATGGGGGGCTGTGGGCCATCAGGACGCAGACTGACGTCAGCTTCTGGTTCCCTGCAGGGCTACAGGAAGCCGAACTTCAGAGATCTAGCTGCAGACCAGTCCCGGTACCAGCGCTGGCTGATGAGGAATGAGACCAAGGCCTTCTACACGCCTGTGTTTGCTGAGGACCTGAGACAAGGTTCCCAGTACCTGCTCCAGGTAAGAACCCTCTTCAGACACGGTGGTGGCAGCTGGCTGCATCATGCTGTGGGACATTACCCAGCAGCAGAGGCTGGGAAACGGCAAAGCTAAATAAAACTGCAGTTAGAGACGGATGTTGACCATCCAGGAGGGCGACCATCATGGAACGGCCTAGTCAAAGCCCAGTGAGGTCAGGCATCCAGCTGATGAGTGAAGGAAACGCAGCGGGTCGGGTCTGGAAGGGTTAACGAGTCAGGCTGTTCAATCTAGAAATGGTTGAATACTTTTCACTGGGATGACTGGTTCCAGTGTTTAAACTGGAATGACTGGTTCCAGTGTTAACCGTCCCTAATGGCTGGATGTTTCAGGCTGCTGGTCTGGGTCGTCTGCGGCCGAACACGCTGGTGCTCGGCTTCAAGAACGACTGGAGAGACGGAGACATGATGAACGTGGAGACCTACATCAACATGATCCAGTGAGTAGGAGCGCATGGAGGACGGGTCAGAGCGGCGGAGCGACAGGTCGCCTCCTGCAGAGGGAGCGGCGGGTCGCCTCTCCGCCGTAGGAGCGGCGGGTCGCCTCCTGCAGAGGGAGCGGCAGGTCGCCTCCTGCAGACGGAGCGGCGGGTCGCCTCCTGCAGAGGGAGCGGCGGGTCGCCTCCTGCAGAGGGAGCGGCAGGTCGCCTCTCCGCCGTAGGAGCGGCGGGTCGCCTCCTGCAGAGGGAGCGGCAGGTCGCCTCCTGCAGACGGAGCGGCGGGTCGCCTCCTGCAGAGGGAGCGGCGGGTCGCCTCCTGCAGAGGGAGCGGCAGGTCGCCTCTCCGCCGTAGGAGCGGCGGGTCGCCTCCTGCAGAGGGAGCGGCAGGTCGCCTCTCCGCCGTAGGAGCGGCGGGTCGCCTCCTGCAGAGGGAGCGGCGGGTCGCCTCCTGCAGAGGGAGCGGCGGGTCGCCTCCTGCAGAGGGAGCGGCGGGTCGCCTCTCCGCCGTAGGAGCGGCGGGTCGCCTCCTGCAGAGGGAGCGGCAGGTCGCCTCCTGCAGACGGAGCGGCGGGTCGCCTCCTGCAGAGGGAGCGGCAGGTCGCCTCTCCGCCGTAGGAGCGGCGGGTCGCCTCCTGCAGAGGGAGCGGCAGGTCGCCTCTCCGCCGTAGGAGCGGCGGGTCGCCTCCTGCAGAGGGAGCGGCGGGTCGCCTCCTGCAGAGGGAGCGGCGGGTCGCCTCCTGCAGAGGGAGCGGCGGGTCGCCTCCTGCAGAGGGAGCGGCAGGTCGCCTCTCCGCCGTAGGAGCGGCGGGTCGCCTCCTGCAGAGGGAGCGGCGGGTCGCCTCCTGCAGAGGGAGCGGCAGGTCGCCTCTCCGCCGTAGGAGCGGCGGGTCGCCTCCTGCAGAGGGAGCGGCAGGTCGCCTCTCCGCCGTAGGAGCGGCGGGTCGCCTCCTGCAGAGGGAGCGGCGGGTCGCCTCCTGCAGAGGGAGCGGCGGGTCGCCTCCTGCAGAGGGAGCGGCGGGTCGCCTCTCCGCCGTAGGAGCGGCGGGTCGCCTCCTGCAGAGGGAGCGGCAGGTCGCCTCCTGCAGACGGAGCGGCGGGTCGCCTCCTGCAGAGGGAGCGGCAGGTCGCCTCTCCGCCGTAGGAGCGGCGGGTCGCCTCCTGCAGAGGGAGCGGCAGGTCGCCTCTCCGCCGTAGGAGCGGCGGGTCGCCTCCTGCAGAGGGAGCGGCGGGTCGCCTCCTGCAGAGGGAGCGGCGGGTCGCCTCCTGCAGAGGGAGCGGCGGGTCGCCTCCTGCAGAGGGAGCGGCGGGTCGCCTCCTGCAGAGGGAGCGGCGGGTCGCCTCCTGCAGAGGGAGCGGCGGGTCGCCTCTCCGCCGTAGGAGCGGCGGGTCGCCTCCTGCAGAGGGAGCGGCGGGTCGCCTCCTGCAGAGGGAGCGGCGGGTCGCCTCCTGCAGACGGAGCGGCGGGTCGCCTCCTGCAGAGGGAGCGGCGGGTCGCCTCCTGCAGAGGGAGCGGCGGGTCGCCTCCTGCAGAGGGAGCGGCGGGTCGCCTCCTGCAGACGGAGCGGCGGGTCGCCTCCTGCAGAGGGAGCGGCGGGTCGCCTCCTGCAGAGGGAGCGGCGGGTCGCCTCCTGCAGAGGGAGCGGCGGGTCGCCTCCTGCAGAGGGAGCGGCGGGTCGCCTCTCCGCCGTAGGAGCGGCGGGTCGCCTCCTGCAGAGGGAGCGGCGGGTCGCCTCCTGCAGAGGGAGCGGCGGGTCGCCTCCTGCAGACGGAGCGGCGGGTCGCCTCCTGCAGAGGGAGCGGCGGGTCGCCTCCTGCAGAGGGAGCGGCGGGTCGCCTCCTGCAGAGGGAGCGGCGGGTCGCCTCCTGCAGACGGAGCGGCGGGTCGCCTCCTGCAGAGGGAGCGGCGGGTCGCCTCCTGCAGAGGGAGCGGCGGGTCGCCTCCTGCAGAGGGAGCGGCGGGTCGCCTCTCCGCCGTAGGAGCGGCTGGTCGCCTCCTGCAGAGGGAGCGACAGGTCGCCTCCTGCAGAGGGAGCGGCAGGTCGCCTCCTGCAGAGGGAGCGACAGGTCGCCTCTCCGCCGTAGGAGCGGCTGGTCGCCTCCTGCAGAGGGAGCGACAGGTCGCCTCCTGCAGAGGGAGCGGCGGGTCGCCTCCTGCAGAGGGAGCGGCTGGTCGCCTCCTGCAGAGGGAGCGGCTGGTCGCCTCCTGCAGAGGGAGCGGCTGGTCGCCTCCTGCAGAGGGAGCGGCTGGTCGCCTCCTGCAGAGGGAGCGACAGGTCGCCTCCTGCAGAGGGAGCGGCTGGTCGCCTCCTGCAGAGGGAGCGACAGGTCGCCTCCTGCAGAGGGAGCGACAGGTCGCCTCCTGCAGAGGGAGCGGCTGGTCGCCTCCTGCAGAGGGAGCGACGGGTCGCCTCCTGCAGAGGGAGCGGCGGGTCGCCTCCTGCAGAGGGAGCGGCTGGTCGCCTCCTGCAGAGGGAGCGGCTGGTCGCCTCCTGCAGAGGGAGCGGCGGGTCGCCTCCTGCAGAGGGAGCGGCTGGTCGCCTCCTGCAGAGGGAGCGGCTGGTCGCCTCCTGCAGAGGGAGCGGCTGGTCGCCTCCTGCAGAGGGAGCGGCTGGTCGCCTCCTGCAGAGGGAGCGGCGGGTCGCCTCCTGCAGAGGGAGCGGCTGGTCGCCTCCTGCAGAGGGAGCGGCTGGTCGCCTCCTGCAGAGGGAGCGGCTGGTCGCCTCCTGCAGAGGGAGCGACAGGTCGCCTCCTGCAGAGGGAGCGGCTGGTCGCCTCCTGCAGAGGGAGCGACGGGTCGCCTCCTGCAGAGGGAGCGGCTGGTCGCCTCCTGCAGAGGGAGCGACGGGTCGCCTCCTGCAGAGGGAGCGGCGGGTCGCCTCCTGCAGAGGGAGCGGCTGGTCGCCTCCTGCAGAGGGAGCGGCTGGTCGCCTCCTGCAGAGGGAGCGGCTGGTCGCCTCCTGCAGAGGGAGCGGCGGGTCGCCTCCTGCAGAGGGAGCGGCGGGTCGCCTCCTGCAGAGGGAGCGGCTGGTCGCCTCCTGCAGAGGGAGCGGCTGGTCGCCTCTCCGCCGTAGGAGCGGCTGGTCGCCTCCCGCAGAGGGAGCGGCGGGTCGCCTCCTGCAGAGGGAGCGGCGGGTCGCCTCCTGCAGAGGGAGCGGCTGGTCGCCTCCTGCAGAGGGAGCGGCGGGTCGCCTCCTGCAGAGGGAGCGGCGGGTCGCCTCCTGCAGAGGGAGCGGCGGGTCGCCTCCTGCAGAGGGAGCGGCATGTCGCCTCCTGCAGAGGGAGCGGCGGGTCGCCTCCTGCAGAGGGAGCGGCTGGTCGCCTCCTGCAGAGGGAGCGGCGGGTCGCCTCCTGCAGAGGGAGCGGCGGGTCGCCTCCTGCAGAGGGAGCGGCGGGTCGCCTCCTGCAGAGGGAGCGGCTGGTCGCCTCTCCGCCGTAGGAGCGGCTGGTCGCCTCCTGCAGAGGGAGCGGCGGGTCGCCTCCTGCAGAGGGAGCGGCTGGTCGCCTCCTGCAGAGGGAGCGGCTGGTCGCCTCCTGCACAGGGAGCGGCGGGTCGCCTCTCCGCCGTAGGAGCGGCTGGTCGCCTCCTGCAGAGGGAGCGGCGGGTCGCCTCTCCGCCGTAGGAGCGGCTGGTCGCCTCCTGCACAGGGAGCGGCTGGTCGCCTCCTGCAGAGGGAGCGGCGGGTCGCCTCTCCGCCGTAGGAGCGGCTGGTCGCCTCCTGCAGAGGGAGCGGCTGGTCGCCTCCTGCAGAGGGAGCGGCTGGTCGCCTCCTGCAGAGGGAGCGGCGGGTCGCCTCTCCGCCGTAGGAGCGGCTGGTCGCCTCCTGCAGAGGGAGCGGCTGGTCGCCTCCTGCAGAGGGAGCGGCGGGTCGCCTCCTGCAGAGGGAGCGGCGGGTCTCCTCCTGCAGAGGGAGCGGCGGGTCTCCTCCTGCAGAGGGAGCGGCGGGTCTCCTCCTGCAGAGGGAGCGGCGGGTCTCCTCCTGCAGAGGGAGCGGCGGGTCGCCTCCTGCAGAGGGAGCGGCTGGTCGCCTCCTGCAGAGGGAGCGGCGGGTCTCCTCCTGCAGAGGGAGCGGCGGGTCGCCTCTCCGCCGTAGGAGCGGCTGGTCGCCTCTCCGCTGTGGGAGCGGCGTGTCGCCTCCTGCTGAAGGAGCAGTGGGAGCAGCGGTGTGCTTCCAGTCATACCGCCATCAGTGATGGCGGTATGACTGGAAGCAGCTGTAGGTCATAGGTTAGCTGCGTCGCTAACATGTCTGCTTTCCGTCCTCCTCAGCGACGCGTTTGACTTCCAGTACGGCGCGGTGATCCTGCGGCTGAAGGAGGGGCTGGACGTGTCTCACATCCAAGGACAAGGTACCTGCTGAGGAGCAGGAAGCTGACCTCCCATTACCGCCCCCTGCTGGTGGCGTGCAGCGTCTCTGACGTCTTTGCTTCCCTTTCTGCCAGATGAGCTGTTGTCCTCCCAGGAGAAATCAGGAGCCAAGGACGTCATCGTTTCCATGGACACCAGCAAAGACTCGGACTGTGACTCATCCAAGCTGTCTTCAAAGACCACCAGCCTTCAGAACAGTCCAGCTGCACAGAAAGGTCAGCCTGCTCCCCTCCCTCCTCCCTCCTCCCTGCTCCAGCTCCTGCTGCTCCTGGTGGCAGGAGGACCTTCAGGAGGCGCACCGTCCCATGGTGGAGGAAGCTTCCTGGAAGCTCATGGTTCCTCCTGTTCTCAGGAAGCTCTTCATCCACCAGCTTCTCTCTCTGCTGCTAATGCTCCGCCCACACAGGAAGTGACCTCCACCCCCACCCCTGACTGGGCAGGAATGTTGGTCACAGATGTTCCTGACAGCTCTGTGTTTGGGGGACGGCAGAGGGATGGCGAGGAGCAGAACGTGTTGTGGTTTTTAGGCGTTTCCTGTTTCAGAGCAGATGGTGCAGCGATGGTCTGCAGACCCTTTCCAGTCAGTCGGTTTAAACACCGTCACCTTAATTTGAAAAGCCAAGCCCGCTGCTTCCTGTCTGTCCTGCTGGGAAGCGTATGAGGCCAACAGCTCAGTAGGGAAGGAAACTGGGGTAAGACCAGTGTTCCCAGTCTGGGGGCCGTCCTTGGACGTTGGTGACCCTGCTGCGTCCCTCAGCGCAGTCTCCCAGGCTCCTCCTGGTCCGGATGGCGTCCAGTTTCAGAGCTGCTGCTGGTCTGGGTGGAAATAAAATGACCGTAAAGTTTTTCATCTGATGCGCCCTGATGACCTCACAGAGGGTTCACCTGCTAACACGTCTGATGCGCCCTGATGACCTCACAGGATTCACCTGCTAATGAAATCAGAACTTTGATAGATGAGATTCTTCCATTACATCAGACGTTCAGGTGACCATCATCGTTACTGTAGTTTGCTTTCAGGCGCTTTTCTCTGGTCAATCTGAGGGGAAAAGGTTTACCCGTTTCCTAAATAAACTAGATGTAAGTGCAGAGCAGAGAGGGGGCGGAGCCTCCCAGATGACCTCAGTCTCAGGACATTGCTGCGTCCAGCAGGCTGGATCCAACCGGATGCTCCTGGCTCCTGCCCAGAAATCTGAAATGTTGCAGGAGGCTCAGAGCAGTGGAGTCCTGCTTCCCGCTGCTGGGAGGAGGCTGTTGCTCCTGCATTCTCCTCCCTCATCATCATCATCATCAGTGTCTCACATTAAGGATGTTTTCTTTGTTCTTTTGTTTCATATTTCCCAGAAGACGATGAAGATGGCAAAGCTACAACGCAGCCCCTGTTGAAAAAAGGCAGGAGACCCGTTTCCTCTGGTTGCCTTCAGACTTTTCTTCCTCTCAGAGCTTCTGCTGCTTCTGGCTTTCTTCATCCTGTCACTTTGTGTCGCCTCATGTTTCCCGGTAGATTTAGAGAGCTGCCGCTAACACACCGTCTCTGTCCTCCTGTCCTGCTCCAGGACGCTCCCTCTTCCTGTTTGCTCTGTCGTCTCCTGGCTTCAGTCCGTCTCTGATGTCCTGCTGCATCATCTGATCTCCTTCTCTCTTCAGACCTCTGGTAGTTTCTGTGTTTCGCCTCCTTCCTTCCTTCCTTCCTTGGGGGTGACGGCTCTCTAGCTTTCTTCTCCGGGTTCTGGTGTACTTCGGACCCGTCCCGGCGCCGTCTGTCGGCTCCTCTGCGTTTCTCTTCTGCCTGAAGGTTGATTTATTGGTTCAGCGCTGAAGGCAGGAAGAGAACCAGATGAACAGATGTGCTCTGTGTTTGATCACCTGGGAGTTGATTCTATGTGCTCTATTTCTGTCTGCTCGCTGTCTTCCAGGCAAGAAGAGTCCAACGGTTCCACTGAACAGTTCTGACCAGCGGCTGCTGGAGGCCAGCCAGCAGTTCCAGCAGAAACAGGGGAAAGGCACCGTGGACGTCTGGTGGCTGTTTGATGACGGAGGTGAGACCAGATTAGACCAGACCAGGCTAGCCTTAGCGTAGCAGTAGGGTCATAGGGTTAGCGTTAGCAGTGGGGTTAGCAGTAGGACTGGGGTTAACAGTAGGGTAAGCGTTAGCGTAAGGTTAGCAGTAGTAGTGGGGTTAACCATAGGGTTAGCATTAGCAGTAGTGTTAGCATTACGGTTATCAATAGAAGTGGGGTCAGCAGTAGGACTGGGGTTAACAGTAAGGTTAGCAGTAACATTAGCAGTAGTAGTGGGGTTAGCAGTAACATTAGCAGCAGTAGTAGTGGGGTTAGCAGTAGGGTTAGCAGTAACATTAGCAGTAGTAGTGGGGTTAGCAGTAACATTAGCAGCAGTAGTAGTGGGGTTAACAGTAAGGTTAGCAGTAACATTAGCAGTAGTAGTGGGGTTAGCAGTAACATTAGCAGCAGTAGTAGTGGGGTTAGCAGTAGGGTTAGCATTAGCGGTGTTTAATTAGTAGGGTTAGCAGTAGCATTAGCAGTAGTAGTGGGGTTAGCAGTAGGGTTAGCAGTAACATTAGCAGCAGTAGTAGTGGGGTTAGCAGTAGGGTTAGCAGTAACATTAGCAGCAGTAGTAGTGGGGTTAGCAGTAGGGTTAGCAGTAACATTAGCAGTAGTAGTGGGGTTAGCAGTAGGGTTAGCAGTAACATTAGCAGTAGCGTTAGCATTAGGGTTATCAGTAGAAGTGGGGTTAACAGTAGGGTTAGCATTAGCAGTGTTTAAGCAGTAGGGTTAGCAGTAGTAGTGGGGTTAGCAGTAGGGTTAGCAGTAGTAGTGGGGTTAGCAGTAGGGTTAGCATTAGCAGTGTTTAAGCAGTAGGGTTAGCAGTGGAGTTAGCAGTAGGGTTAGCGTTAGCGGTGGGTTAGCAGTAGAGTTAGCAGTAGCATTAGCAGTATTAGTAGTGGGGTTAGCAGTAGAGTTAGCAGTAGAATTAGCAGTATTAGTAGTGGGGTTAGCAGTAGAGTTAGCAGTAGCATTAGCAGTAGTAGTAGTGGGGTTAGCAGTAGAGTTAGCAGTAGTAGTAGTGGGGTTAGCAGTAGAGTTAGCAGTAGAATTAGCAGTAGTAGTAGTCGGGTTAGCAGTAGAGTTAGCAGTAGAATTAGCAGTAGTAGTAGTCGGGTTAGCAGTAGAGTTAGCAGTAGAATTAGCAGTAGTAGTAGTGTGGTTAGCAGTAGAATTAGCAGTAGTAGTAGTAGTGGGGTTAGCAGTAGAGTTAGCAGTAGAATTAGCAGTAGTAGTAGTCGGGTTAGCAGTAGAGTTAGCAGTAGAATTAGCAGTAGTAGTAGTCGGGTTAGCAGTAGCATTAGCAGTAGTAGTAGTCGGGTTAGCAGTAGCATTAGCAGTAGTAGTAGTCGGGTTAGCAGTAGAGTTAGCAATAGGGTTAGCGTTAGCAGTGGGTTAGCAGTAGGGTTAGCTCTAGTCTTCGGATGGGTTCAGGTCCAATAAAACAGCAGAACCTGTTTAGCTGCAGGATGAGAGGAACCGCGTCTCCACTCGATGATGATGATGATGATGATGGGTTGGGCCTTCTCTCCAGAATGAGGCCTGTATGCAGCGGTTCTGGTTCTAAGCTCTTCTGTTCCTCCATCAGGTCTGACCCTGCTCATCCCCTACCTTCTGACCAACAAGAAGAGGTGGAAGGATTGCAAGATCCGCGTTTTCATTGGAGGGAAGATCAACCGGATCGATCACGACCGCCGAGCGTAAGTTCTCCAGGTTCTCCAGGTTCAGCTGTTCTCCTGAGCTTCACGCTGTGTGGAAGCTGCTGGGATCATGGTCTCCAGGAGAACCAGCTGGTCTCCCTGTCAGCACTGACTCATTCTCAGCTTACAGCAGAGCAAGATGGCGGCCATGGATGAGCTGATCTCCTGGAGGTCATGAGCCGTCAATAGAAGCTGTTAGAGGCAGGAACAGTAGAGCTAAACATGTAGAATAGATCTGTGATGGAGGTGCGTATCCAGGCTGCTTCCTCTGATGTCCTGCAGAGGACCAGAACACCTGGAAATGGACCTCTGGTTCCATCAGCAGCTCTGCAGGTCCAGAGCTCTGTGGGAGGTGGTTCTGTGTGTTTGAAGCTGTGGTTCCTCTCTGATCTGGGGTCTGATGAGCCTCAGGTCCAAACCAGCAGAGAAACCCAAACCAGTGATGGGAGGTTCTGGGTGACCCGGCCCACGCTGCAGCAGAGCCTGGAGCTCTCTGGCTCCACCTGCTTTGCTGCTTCATGGATCCTCTGGAGGTCCTGGTTCTCCAGAACTGGATCCTCTGAGCGGAACCAGTCCCCCATGCTGGCAGAGGACTGGTTGAACTGGGAAATGTTTGGATGTCTGCTGCCCTCTGGTGGTGAGAACTGCTTGTTTCTTGCAGGATGGCGACTCTGCTGAGCAAGTTCAGGATAGACTTCTCTGACATCAACGTGCTGGGGGACATCAACACCAAGCCCAAGAAGGAGCAGTAAGTTCTCCTCTTCCTCACTGCCGCCCCGCCCATCAGGACGGTTCTGGTTCTGGTTCTGGAAGGTTCTGAGCTCCAGGAACCAGCTGCTGGGGCTGCTGCTCCTCAACCAGAACCTTCCTGAAGATGCTGTGGTTGGATGGTTGTTGTTCAGCACATGATGCTGCTGAATGTCCGCAGCCTGTTGCTAACGGCGACGCCTCTGTTGTGATGCAGTGTGGCGGCCTTCGAAGAGATGGTGGAGCCCTACCGGCTGAAGGAGGACAACATGGAGCTGGAGGCGGCGGAGCGGCTGAAGAACAGCGAGCCCTGGAGGATCACAGACAACGAGCTGGAGCTGTACCGCGCCAAGGTCTGACCACAACCGCCAGGCCGCCAGGCTGAGCTTCCTGTGGGAGAATCAGCCTGGAGCGGCTAAATGTCTGTGATTAACATATTCACCACTTCTTTGCTCAGATGAAGGCAAATAACCACGAGTCGGACGGAGTGAACGAGTCTACGCGCGTTAATGTTTGAACCACCGTAGAAAACAGTGTGTCTCCGTTTCCAGTAGCAACAAACACGCCAGTTTAGGTTTTCTTTACATTCCAGAGACGTGCGAGCTCCCAGACGTCATCGCTCAGCGTGCGTTCCTATTGGCTGTCCGTCCAACACTAAGCATTAAACTGAATGCAGATTAAACTACAAGGAAATTAATCCAGTAAAACAGCAACGTGTTCTAGAATGTGCAAATACTAAACATCCAATAATAACTAAATATGAGCGTAAATTAGTGAATGGAAAAATGGCACCAACACAGCCAGATCTATGTGTTTTATGTCTATATCCTGTGGGGGTCAGAGGAAGACGTGTCCTCGCCCTGCGACAGGCTGACGTTTATCACACTGAGCTTCATAAACACCACTGATCACCAAAGGAAAGGACTTTGATTCTAGATTGGTTCTAGACTAGATCTGGACCCGCTGAGCCTGATCTTTGCTTCACAGGACGGCGTGCTAGCTGCTAACCTGTTAGCATTGTTCATGTTTCTGCTGATCCAGCATAGATGATGGAGGGACAGCAGCTCTTATACTGCCTCAGAAAGTTAGCCAGGGTTCAGCATGACATGACTCTGATAACCATGTTCTATAGATCTGTTATAGACTGCATACTTACCTTCTCTGCCATCTGCTGCTACGCTCTTCTAATGGAAAGAACAAAATGCCATATCTAAGATTATTATACTGAACTGGACTGAACTGGAAGCGGGTTCTGATCATCTGCTCTGCTTGTTCCTCAGACCAACCGCCAGATCCGCCTGAACGAGCTGCTGAAGGAGCACTCTGCCACCGCCAACCTCATCGTCATGTAAGCTTCCCTCCTCCTCTGTAGAGCAGAGGGTTCCTCAGCCTGGACCCCGGAGAACCTCGCCCTCCCACCTTCTCCTGGCCTCCATGTGGCCCGGGCCTCCTCCGTCCAACGTTAGGTTCCGCTTCTGCCCAGGTTCCTACCTGCTCCTCAGCCGGTACTGGAACCAGAACCGGGACTGGAACCAGAACCGGTACTGAAAAATCGGTGGAGTAGAACCAGGCGTGGCGGAGCCGCTAGGGAGGGGGTGGTGGTGACCCAGAAAGGGAAAGTTCTCCTAACTTCCATGTCTTCTTCATGGTTCTGGTACCACAGCCCAGCGGCTCTGCTGTGTCCAGAGGAACCATGTGGGTCACTGGTCCGGTTCCTCTGGCTGTAGACCCTGCTGCCGCCTGTTGGATCCCTGGAGACGTAGGGATGTTGACCTCAGTGGGACGTTCATAATGGAGACGTCCCTGAGACGTTAGGGACATCCTCTGTTATGTCTCAGAAATGTCCCAGCGCTTGGAGAAGAAGTTGTAATCAATTTTTCTGGGCTTCTCCTCTTTGGTGGGTGGTTAGGCGTCCCGGTCTGTCCCTCTGTCTCTGACCGGGGGTGGGGGGGGGGTCGTTAGGCGTCCCTGTCCGTCCCTCTGTCTCTGACGTGTCCGTTCTTGTCTTGTGTCCAGGAGCCTCCCGTTGGCGAGGAAAGGCGCGGTCTCTAGCGCCCTCTACATGGCGTGGCTGGAGGCGCTGTCCAAGGACCTGCCCCCCATCCTGCTGGTGCGGGGGAACCACCAGAGCGTCCTGACCTTCTACTCCTAGAAGCAGATCCCAGTGTTCCCAGTGGAGCTCCCATCACAGCCGGACACTGACCATGGGGGGGGGGGTCCTCTATTTATTTCAGATTCTTTTTCTTTCTAGTTTAGTTTTTCCAATTGAATGAATCCTAGTTCTGGGGGGGGGGGGGGGGGGGGTGATGCAGCAATAACGTTCCTTCCAGATGTGCCTTCAGGTCGGAGCGACGATGCGTCCCATCATCAGATCATCTGACCCGCTTCCTGTCCTTCTTTCCCCGTTGGGTCGCTGTGGTTCTGGATCAGGTTCTGATTGGTCCGGTTCTTGTGCTCCTCCCCCTGAGGACTGACCGGTTCTGGAAACACTCTGGGTTCTGACGTGGTTCTGATGTCGGGCTGCTCCTCGGTACCACAGAACCTCCATGCTTTAGGAAGCGGCGCCGGCCGGGTAGCGAAGCATTTGGACCTGATGTGTTTTGAGCCGCCTGGTTCTTGTCCTCCATCTTGGCGGTCCAGAACCAGCGACCCAGATGTTCCATCGCCGTCCCATAAACACGCCTTTCGTTTCGTTTGGTTCAGAATAATCTAATCTCAGCTCTGAATGTATGGTTGCCATGGGAACAGCGGGTTTTGGTCGCCCCCTCCCTCCGGATGAACACATTAATCTGTATCTAGGCGTATAATCTCTGTAGAAACGAGCGTAGATCTGCGGCTCCTTGGACCAATCAGACGTCCGAAGCGTCTTCCTCCCAGTGCTTCCAGTTCAGCGGTCCCAGCGGTGACTGGGAGCCACTGGGGGCCTCCCAGCTGTAAATAGGCTTCCTGGCTCATCCTGAAGACGTATTTATTTTAGCTTCTTCCTGTGAAACGTTTGGTTTTGGTTTCTAGTTAATTTGCATGTTTTTCCTCCTTTTTCTCCTTTTAATTTAAGAAATATTCTTTTTGACGGTTTCTATCGTTTCGATGCCTTTTAGACGAAGCGGCGGCGTCCTGCTTTATGCAAACATGAACGGGTCGACCTGGCCGGCTGCAGCAGCCATTATTTCATCCACTGCACTGTTAACGGTCACAGATATGCTTTTCTAACATTTTAACACTTATGATTATTCATACTTTGTATATCTTTATTGCAATAAATCAAATGAAATCTGTAACGTTTCTGTTTTCTTTAGCTGTGCTTCATTAAACCACATCTAGAACAGAACCGCTGTTTGTTTCATTATGGATCCATCTTTGTTCATGGAAGGAGAACGTCTGAGGGGCCCGGCCCCCGCGGGGCCCCCACTCTCACCTTACATGTAAACACAGGAAAAGGTTCAGAGTAGAATCAGTGATTCTGATGGAAATCATTTATTTAGTAAAACAGGAACAATGATGACGGCGAGACAAACGCAGAGCAGCACAACAACTAAGGGAAGGATTCTAGAAAGTCGTTTTCTACGCTGCTCTGCCTCTTTCCTCTTGAGCAGGGAGTCGAATCCTGGAGTGTAGAGGTCCTCAAGCCAGAAGTCCAGATCCTTTGCACTTTTTTCATCCTGTATTTGCAAAAAAAAAAAAAGAAAACAGCAAAAATCATGACTCATTTCTTGATTATTATTTTTTTTTTATGGAATATTTTCTGTAATTGTACTTGATTATAAGGAGAAAAAACCCACTGCTACAGGTGATTGCTGAGGCAGAGACATTTCATCCGGAACAGTTGGTCTTTTATTTTTTATTGTGCACGTTTTGTGTAGTTCACTCGTACCTCTTGCTGCTGTGGGCGAACAGCTGCTGCACCAAACTGCAGCCATCATCCATAAACAGCTGGCAGGGTTTGATTAAATCAGGCTTCCTGAAGGTCGGTCCTGCAGGGTTTAGGTTCCCCTGCTTTAGCACAGCTGATTATGATGATTGCAGTTCAGCAAAAGCCTATTAAGGAGCTTTCAATTAAAATCAGCTGTGCTGGAGGAAGGAGACCTCTAAAAGCTGCAGGACCCACTTTGGGGATGCCTGGATTAAATGATGCAAAAAGTATTTAACTTTATTTTTATATAGTGTCCTCTCAGGCAGTGTGGAAATAAGAATCGTCTTAATGCCAGAAAGAGTCCAACAGATTTTATTCTTCAAGTGAAGCGTTATTGTTGTGGCTATAGAGCTCTGCTCGAGTTCTATGGAAATAGTTTCATTAGCAGGTCTAGAGGGAATTATTCAGGTTATTTAGACGCTGCATTGAAATGAGAAGAAGGACAGAAGAGATCAGCTGTAAAGAGCTGAAAGAAACAGAACAACTGATATAGAACTACAGATATAGATACAGCAACACCTTGATACCATCACTGAAGTATATACAGTTAATATGAAATGAAGTGTCCATGATGCCCTACATCAGGGCCCCCCAGAGGCCCCCGTAGGGCCGACACCTGGCCATGCAGCCGCCCTGAGGAGCCCCAACATTTTTCACCTGGATTCATTCATAGATGCAATAATCAAGTTCAGGATCAGCAATCAATCATCAGTTCTGTCCCGGCTGTCAGCTGGCCTCATTTAAAATAACCACCAACATGGCGGCTCTATCTGACAATAACACTGAGCCACAGCGGCGCCGGGTGCAGGACTTCACCCTGCAATCAAAGGGTTGTCGGTTCGAGCCCCGGCTCTAGCCTTTAGTGTCGTCGTGTCCTTGAGCAAGGCAGTGTGCTAGCTCACCACCATGGTGTGTGTGTGAATGACAATGTGGTTTAAACTGCTTTGGTAAATTCCTCAGACATGAAACAGCCTGGCTGTTAGCCTGGAGTCTGTTTCAGTTCTATTCAGTTTATTTCTATAGCTCCAATTCACATCATGTCATCTCAGGTCACTTTATAGATCCAGATCAACCAGATCATCCAGTCAGATTGATTCAAAGTTTTCTATCTAAGGAAAACCAGCTGATTGCATCGACTCATTGACTCTTCAGCAATCCCTCACACTAAGCATGCTTGTAGCGACAGTGGAGAGGAAAAACTCCCTTTGAACAGGAAGAAACCTCCAGCAGAACCAGGCTCAGTGTGAGCGGCCATCTGCTGAGGCCCACTGGGGTTCAAGGAGACAGAAGCAGACATAGAAAAAGAAGCATAGATACAAAAGGCAACTGTCAAGCAGCTCCACAGGCGGCCCCGTCCAGGAAACACACAGCCAGGCAGACGAGCTCCGAGCCAGCTCCCATGTCAGAGGATGAAGAGAGCACATCCAGTTAGTCACAGTCAGAGAAACAGGACTACACTGGAAAACAGGCCAAGCTCCAACATCTAGAAACAAAGGTGTTGATGGCAGCAGCACAGCTGATATTTCTCTCCAGGATGGAGAGATTAATCCATCCTAAAATCAGGAACTCTGAGTGTTCGTTTTCACAAAGGCTGCTATCAGTTCAATCAATTTTAAGTAGGTCCACTCAGAGTTAAGCACGTGCGCAACAATTATGAAAAGCTATTATCAGTGGAGATCTAATTCGACGAGTCACCATGACAACAGCAAACAGGAAGTGCCTATTTCACCCCACTGGAACTAGAGATTTAAATGCAGAAATGAAGAAAAAATAAAATAAAAATGGAGAATGTGTTTAAAAGAGAGAGAGAGAGAGAGAGACAGCGCTACAGCTGCAGAGGAGAGGAAGATGGAAACTAGATATAAGCACTATGGCAGGCCGTTTTTACATTAATTCAAAGCACTCTCCTCTCTGTTGTTCCAGTTGTAGATCACTAAAATAAGATTCTTCCTGATAAAAATCACACTCCTAGACTCAACTGTAATAATAGATTTTATAAATTACATTTTTGTAGCAGAAACTGAATTTTAGAAAGTAAAAAAAAAAAAAAAATATATATATATATATATATGTATAATCAGTAATTTTATATATCTAGAAATGTTGACACATTTTAAGTGGCCGTTCTGACATTTATCACCTCGATTGAAAATGTTTTTATGAAATCGGAAATACAATTTTTCTTAGTTAAAATAATACAAATGCTGAGCAGTGATATTAGGAATATGCAGATCTGAAATTAATTTATAGACAACCAGAATGTTTATTCTAGATGTGGAGAATGTCATTTTCTTTGAAATGTTCATTTAGACAAAGAAAAATGTTATTTTTTAGATATCAGGAATACATATCCAGTAAAACTAGTATATATGAAAACAGCTTGCCATATTTGTTTTTACTGTGAAAATATTATGAGATTATTTCTTGAACGGTCGTAGATCAGTGGATCTATTTAGGTGAAATATTCTGTCAGCAGGTGAAGATGAAGAATAAAAATATTGTTCTAATAAATAGAACCTGTTCATCATCTCATGGGTTCCTCCTCATGTTGATTCATCCTTTAACTCAGTGGCTGTTTGCAGCTGTGCTCCAGATGTTATCATCCCAATAAATGACGTTATTAGCAGCTATCAGGCCTATAGAACGGCTTCAGGTTGTTCCAGTAGGTTCATCAGGTTGTTATCATCCAGTCAATCCTATCCTAAAGTAATTCCTTTTCCTCCAGGGATTTAGCTGTGGGAGGATGTTACTATGGCAACAGAGGATGAGGAAACTGTCTTTGTGAAACGGAAAACTCAGAGTTTCCCTAATTTCAGGTTTAGAAAACTTTACGTTTTTGATAAACCTGCTTAATGAAACGGACCCCTGGTATGGAGCAGACTGGCTGCGCAGTAAATCGATGCTAAATCACCATGGTAACCGATGTTACTGCTTGGGTTAAACCGAGCCAAGGCTTCGTTAAACCAGGATCTCCTGGTTTAATCCCTGATGGTGGCTTTGTTTAGTAGAAGGTGTAGATGTGTTTGCTTGTTGTCAGCAGAGCAGCTGCTGCTGAGAGGCTGCAGGTTTCCTTCTATCAACAGGAAGTTTCCCTTTATGCTGCAAACGGCGGTTCAATGCGCAGCTGTCACTGGTAGGTAACTCAGAAATGGCGGCTGTTAAAAGACTCTTTGCAGCAAACTGGTGTTTCTTGGCTGTTTTTTGAAGAATGTAAATGATTAAACTTAATTATTTTGTTTTCTAACTAGGATCTAATTTTAAATGTGATTTAATTTGGGCTGCGGCGTTCACTGGGAACTCTGGTTCCCTCCCTCAGTGGTGGAATGGTATGTGTCTGTGTGTCCCTGATGGAGCAGTTCAATCTCCAGCCTCTGCTAGTCCTTGAAATACCTTGGAATAATCTGCCAGGTTTCCATGGATGGTCTGTGAGTCATACTCCTGGATGGTCCAGGAAGGCCTAAACTCCTCGCTGTCCACCATGTCTCTGTCTTTCATCTCCAGGTAAAGAGGATTGGTCTTGATGTTAGACTTCAGAGTAACTGGCGTGATGTGCTTCTCCAGATATCTGTCCACAAACGCCACAGATCGGCCCTCTGTGAACCTCTGGCTTCCAGGCTGAGCCGTCTGTTCCCTCTGTCAAAAAACAACATGGAGTCAATTTAATCAGATCCAGCAGAAAACAACTAATCAGGTTCAGTTTCTATGTTTCTAAGGCAGCCTCAGGATCAGTCTCCTTCCCAGGATTCAACACCGTCCCTCAATAGGTAAGGATCCAAGCGAAGGATCCATCAGGCGGCGGTTATTAACCTCTGCAGAGGATCCTAATCTATAAAACCATCCGCTGCTACGCCTCCTGCTTGCTTACGAGGGTTCAGCTCCCGTTCTGTTCTCTATATTTCATAATGCTGATATGAAGCTAAATGAACCAGCTGATTAACTCTAGTACATGGTTACCAACGGCAACAACAGAGAAGAGAACAAAGAGAGGGGCTGGGTGTCACAACGTCTCATTAGTCTATAGATGTTTGATAAACCAGGCACTGCGCTCGAACCCTGACTGACGGGGAGCTCACCCTAAGTTAGTGGCAGACATTCACATTAAATTAAATGTTTTCTATTTCCTGCATCAATGAAAACCTTCAAATCTGCATTTATAGCATCTGATACCTTCAGAACTTCTGCATTGTTCTTCTCTCACTGACAGCAGCAGATTCATGACTCACTGGAGGCACTTCAACCAAAGTTTAAGTCATGAATCTGACTCACTGGAGGGGGGGGTTAATAATTAGAGATTTATTAGTTAAAGATATTACTTATTGAGATGCACTGAAGCGCTGCAGCCTGACCAATCAGGGAGCAGCAGTCAGGATGAGGCCTCCAGTAAGAAGCAGTGACTGTCCTATGAAACAGTTCGGCCTTCATCATCTGACATCTGATTATGCAGCTAATCTAACGTCTCTATTGATTGGATTGCAGAGTTGAATGATCTCTATGGAGAAAGTTATCGGCTGCAAACCTGATTGTCTTCAGGAACTGTACACCTCCAGGACTTTAAGGCCCCAAACTGTTTCTGACTCTCTGCTCTGGCTGCAGGCTGCAGTCCAAGGAAGCAGATGATGGACAGCAGTGATCGTCCTCTTCACCTGACTGTTAGACACCAACACAGGGTCTTCAGTCAGAGGCTTCTTCAGATCCACTGCAGACAGACCTCTACAGAAGATCCTTCCAGCCTGCAACAGCTGGTTAAAATATTATTTATGACTTTTGACAACATTTAATTTCCCTTTGGGTTTAATAAAGTATATTTGAATTGAACTGCAATGAAGCAGAATGATGAAAAAGGGGTCCCTATGTCCTCCAGCAGTCTAAGCCTATAGCAGCAGAACTATAGAGATAGATCAGGATAACCTGAGCCACTCTAACTAGAAGCTTTATCAAAAAGGAAAGTTTTAAGCCTAGCCTTAAAAGTAGACAGGGTGTCTGCCTCACGGACTAAAACTGGTAGTTGGTTCCACAGGAGAGGAGCCTGATAACTAAAAGATCTGCCTCCCATTCTACTTTTAGAAATTCTAGGAACCACTAGTAAACCTGCAGATTGAGAGCGAAGTGCTCTGTTAGGAACATAAGGAACAATCATAGAAATTCCTGCAGTCTGGATGCAATCAGCTGCTTTTCCTCAGATAGAAACTTTTAACCTGACTGGATGATCTGATTGATCTAGATCTATAAGGAAACCTGAATATAATTAGTTGTGAAAAGGAACTGAAATGAACTGGACCGAGTTGCTGCTGAATTGAGGAAGAATTTATGCTCAATGTCTTATTTCTATTTATTTTTTCCAGAGAATTAATAGTTTGCTGTGAAGCAGCCAATCAGAACGCTCTAGAGAAGAAGCTTTATCGTGTTTAACTCTTGGAATCAAAGCCAGGTCCTCCGACACTGGGCCATCAGTAGGTCACTATTACTAAACTCACTCTGACTACATTCCAGCCACTTATGAGGAAAATGTCTAAGCCCTTATTGTTACTGGAAATAAAAACTGTGACCTGGTTACTTTCATCGTATCGGTTAATTTATCAGGCTCAGTTTCTTAGAACCGCTCAAAAAATTAAATGATCACCATGAAATTTACTTTAGACTCTTTTTCAGGACTTAATTGTTATGAAAAGTTTTTTTTTATTTAGATGATGACTCTTAATTCTCATTATTACCAGAAATCAGTTTATTTATTTTAAATCTATTTAAAGTTAAACCTTTGAGAATTTAGCTGAACCTCAGTTCATTTCTCGACTTAATCTGGGATTATAACAAAGAAAGGAGACGCAGGTTAGTCTGCTTTAAAATGCCTGCAGCTAGCCTGGGGTCAAAGGTCAAAGTTGATCCGTACCTGCCAATAGACCCTGTTGTGCCACCGTCTCTGACTGGAAACGATGGCTCCGACCTGGGACAGGCCGCGCCTGGCATCCAACATCCCAACATCCAGCTGCAGCAACCTCTCTGGGTGATTGCTGTTGGGCAGAACAGAAACATCCATCTGAGCTCTGCTGCTGCTCTGACTGCTAACAGCCTCCCAGCAGCTGGTCCGCCTGCTCAGTATTTATGAAGCAGGGTATTTATGACGCTGTATCACTTGCAGCTGGCGGTAACCTGACCCCATCATTGAACCTGATAGAACGGAGCCGTTCTGTGCAGAGAGGGGAGGCAGGGTCCACAGCATGGCGTCAGGTGACATCACGCCTGCCGCTACCTGAGGAAAGGTTAGCTGCAGCCGATTCTTCATGACAAACAGGATAACATCACTGGTGTTTGTTAAAGATGGTGATGCCCGTCTCTGAGCTCCGCCTTGGATCAGGGTCGTATTAATTACCCATCAGCCTTTGGTTTACAGCGTCCTGCAGGAATGAAGCAACAGGCCAAAGGAAACAGACGGCAGCAAATCTTTGGCAAACGCCAGAATCTCAGACACTGAAAAGCTTTTTTTCATTCATTGGCATTAAATCGTGTTTTATCTTTACTGTATAAACTGAACACTGATGATGTGAATGATGAGCATTAAGGTTAGACTCAGACTGCAGGTCAGAGAGACTAGTTCCTCCTAAAGACCTAATCTGAGCAGAGTGTCTGCAGCTCAATGATCTGATCTTTGGAGAAACCAAACAACCTCTCCACAGACGCATGGCCCAACACAGAAGAGCGCCCTCCTCTGGACAAGACTCTGCGCTACATCTACACCTGATGGACAAGGGACAATCTTTGGAGGACCAGAATGTCCACAAAGAAGACAGGTGGTTAGAGAAGAAGGAAGGAAGCCATCTATGTTAAGAAAGAAAAACCAACCTTAAACCAAGGGCTTTCAAAAACCTCTAATGCAGCGATAGAGTTGATTCCTTCCTGCTATCATCGCAGCCCCCCCCACCCCCCAACCCCTTTACAGGAGAACAGAAGACCTCACCTGTTCATCCAGGCCAACTATTCCCTCTAACGACCCCCCTTTCAGAGACATAGACAGGTATGGGGCATTGCAGGCTAACAAAGAAGCTAAACGACCCCCATTCCAAAGGGGGGGACCCGTTCATCTGTTTCTATCTGCATGTTTTCTAAACTAAAACCAGGCTTTGTTGGGCTGCTGGATAAAACCTGGAACTAAACGCTATTTCTGATATTTTGGATTGAAAAATCTTCCTGGATGGAAGAGAAACGTCTTCAGACTTGGAAACAAAGTCCAGAGGATTGAGTTTTACTTTTTTGGAATTGCAGATTGAACAGTTTCTATTTTCCGGCGACGTTCACACTGCAGGCCTCAAGCTTAGTTCAGATTTTTGGTGGAATCCGAATGTTTTGTGGCTTGTGTGTGTTTCTCACAAACGAAGATGCAGCACAGGCAGTGAGTCTGTGTTTGCAGGACTAGCAGCTGTTAGCGGTTTCCAGTCTGCAAAGCTCCTGAAGTTCTCCAACGACATCACCCTCTGGGTCTCCACTATTGACACTATGGAATCTTTCTGCTTCCTGGGAACTATCATCCCACAGGACCTAAAGGGGGGGCTGAACATCAACTCCCTCACCAAGAAAGCCCAGCAGAGGATGAACTTCCTGCAGCAGCTGGTGTCACCCGGTCTGCAGAGAAGATGATTGACTAAAATCCTCTCCAGGCTGTGTACGCCTCCAGGACTCTGAGGCCTGCAGGGAAGATTGTGGCTGATCCCCCCCACCCAGCCACAAACTATTTCAGTCCCTCCTCTCTGGCAGGAAGCTGCGCCCCATCAGGACCAAAGCTCACCTTCTTCCCATCTGCTACCAGGCCCAGAGACCCCCGCCTGCCTCTCTCCCTACCTCATTTAGGACCCAGAAGTTACACCAACACAGCATCTCCAGACCTCCTGCCTTACATTAATGAACAGTCTACTCTGTATATTATATATCTATATACTATATATTGTCTATAGCACAGGTATTAGCGGACCACGGTCCGGATCCGGACCCAACCTGATTTAAAACATTTATAAACTACAGCATGTTGTCCGACAGCAGTGTCTAACTTCACTTGCTCCTCTTCTCCTGTTAATACGGTAAAGCCCTGGGGAGCGTCCGGCTCCAGGCTGCACGTGATCCAAATGAGCCAATGAGCTGTCAGTCTGGGTTGCTGCTGCTGCTACTGTTAGACACAGCAGGCAAACCTGTGGCAAGCCGGGCGATGGGAAAGAAGGAGAAGACCATGAGAAAAAGAGAGCAGAGAAAGTGTGGACTGCTGGAAGAACTGCGGTGAACTGGTGAAAGAAAAGTGAAATGGCGTGCTCAAAGATGACCCTGCACATTTAGAGGATGTTTGGCTCAACCTGCTGCTGTGAAGCAGGATTCTCCACCATGAACAGAATCAACAATAAATCTGGATCCAGGCTCAAAATGAGCTCCTTGATATGTGCTTGAGAATGGCTTAGTCTCCGGTTAAACCCAGGTTTAAAGCCTTGCAGGGCAGCCTAAAGCCCACTGCCAGCATTAAGACAGAAAAAAGAAAGAAAAGAACAAACCATCAGTTCAGGGGTTTGAGAAAATATGGGAATCAGGAAATTATCTATAAACCAAACTGAACGATTGTTGATCTCTACTTTAAAAACAGTTTAGATTTTAAAATGGAAAAATTTTCTATTTCTTTTTTTTTATTGAAAAATTCAATGCATAACATGGATGCATAAACACCTCATTTTATTTCAGTGTTAAATTCTGTTTAAATTAACAGATTCTAATTAAAAATGTCTCTGGACCTTTTCTGGTTGATGATTTTCTTTATTCGGACCCTGATGAGTTTTAATTGGTGACTCCTCATATATAGTTTGTTTTCTATAGTATAGATCTATAAATCCTGTATTCTGGTTATATATATCTAGTTTCTCTGCACCATCAACATGAAGTCAAATTACTTTAAGTTCAAACCTGCCTATAAATAAACTGGATTCTGATCCTTCAGAAAATCAGAAAGAATATAAAACAGCATTCCAGTAAAAATTAAATATTACTGGTTTAAATTAGAAAATGAGAATAAAAGTGCAGACATGAAATAGAACAGTTGAAATAAAATATATCTTTAATTATATAAAAAAGAAAATCTAAATATATTTAGTTGTTAGTTGCATTTAGCGTTTAGTTTAGCAGAGGGAAGGAGGGGGAGCAGAGGGAGGGGAGGAGGAGAGGAGCGCGGGGGGGATGGCAGAGGGAGAGGGAGGGGGAGCAGAGGGAGGGGGAGGAGGAGCAGGGAGGGAGGGAGGGGTGAGGGAGCAGAGGGAGGGGTGAGGCAGAGCTGCGGTCGCTGCATCGCCGCTGCGCAGCTCTGATGCACAGAGATTGATGGCGATGCGGGATCAGGGCGAAAGGAGTAAAGTGAGCGATAAGCGGCTTTTAGCGGTTTAACCGTGAAGCCCACATTCAGATGGCGTCATCCAGGAACCGCAACCCGGACAGAAATTGGAGAAACGCGGCCTTAATGCGGTAAGAACATCCATTAATCTGTGCGTGACGATGCGGTGATCACATCCAGCTCAGCCTCCAGCTACTGCGGCAAGAAGTCCTTAGAGAGCAGATCCATTCGGTACCGAGAGGTTCACTGGTCCTCAGCAGAGCAGGAAGGATTCAGGAGGCCTCCATCCTCTGACTGTGACTGCAGAGGATGATGGAGGCTATGATGGAGGCTATGATGGAGGCTATGATGGAGGCTGCTTGATGGAGGCTATGATGGAGGCTGCATGATGGAGGCTACCTGATGGAGGCTGCATGATGGAGGCTATGATGGAGGCTATGATGGAGGCTATGATGGAGGCTATGATGGAGGCTGCATGATGGAGGCTGCATGATGGAGGCTACCTGATGGAGGCTGCATGATGGAGGCTACCTGATGGAGGCTGCATGATGGAGGCTATGATGGAGGCTATGATGGAGGCTATGATGGAGGCTATGATGGAGGCTATGATGGAGGCTGCATGATGGAGGCTGCATGATGGAGGCTACCTGATGGAGGCTGCATGATGGAGGCTACCTGATGGAGGCTATGATGGAGGCTATGATGGAGGCTATGATGGAGGCTGCATGATGGAGGCTGCATGATGGAGGCTGCATGATGGAGGCTACCTGATGGAGGCTGCATGATGGAGGCTATGATGGAGGCTGCATGATGGAGGCTGCATGATGGAGGCTACCTGATGGAGGCTACCTGATGGAGGCTGCATGATGGAGGCTGCATGATGGAGGCTGCATGATGGAGGCTGCATGATGGAGGCTACCTGATGGAGGCTACCTGATGGAGGCTGCATGATGGAGGCTGCATGATGGAGGCTACCTGATGGAGGCTACCTGATGGAGGCTGCATGATGGAGGCTGCATGATGGAGGCTACCTGATGGAGGCTACCTGATGGAGGCTACCTGATGGAGGCTGCATGATGGAGGCTACCTGATGGAGGCTACCTGATGGAGGCTGGATGATGGAGGCTGCATGATGGAGGCTGCATGATGGAGGCTGCATGATGGAGGCTACCTGATGGAGGCTACCTGATGGAGGCTACCTGATGGAGGCTGGATGATGGAGGCTGCATGATGGAAGCTACCTGATGGAGGCTGAATGATGGAGGCTGCATGATGGAGGCTATGATGGAGGCTGCATGATGGAGGCTATGATGGAGGCTGCATGATGGAGGCTACCTGATGGAGGCTACCTGATGGAGGCTGGATGATGGAGGCTGCATGATGGAGGCTACCTGATGGAGGCTACCTGATGGAGGCTGGATGATGGAGGCTGCATGATGGAAGCTACCTGATGGAGGCTGCATGATGGAGGCTGCATGATGGAGGCTGCATGATGGAGGCTATGATGGAGGCTGCATGATGGAGGCTGCATGATGGAGGCTACCTGATGGAGGCTACCTGATGGAGGCTGGATGATGGAGGCTGCATGATGGAGGCTGCATGATGGAGGCTGCATGATGGAGGCTAGCTGATGGAGGCTACCTGATGGAGGCTACCTGATGGAGGCTGCCTGATGGAGGCTACCTGATGGAGGCTACCTGATGGAGGCTGCCTGATGGAGGCTACCTGATGGAGGCTACCTGATGGAGGCTGCCTGATGGAGGCTACCTGATGGAGGCTGCCTGATGGAGGTTGTCTGATGGAGGCTACATGATGGAGGCTACCTGATGGAGGCTGCCTGATGAAGGCTGCATGATGGATGCTGCATGATGGAGGCTGCCTGATGGAGGCTGCATGATGGAGGCTATGATGGAGGCTACCTGATGGAGGCTGCATGATGGAGGCTATGATGGAGGCTACCTGATGGAGGCTGCATGATGAAGGCTGCATGATGGATGCTGCATGATGGAGGCTACCTGATGGAGGCTGCATGATGGAGGCTGCATGATGAAGGCTGCCTGGTGGAGGCTATGATGGAGGCTACCTGATGGAGGCTGCATGATGGAGGCTGCATGATGAAGGCTGCCTGGTGGAGGCTGTGATGGAGGTTACCTGATGGAGGCTTTCTGATGGAGGCTGCCTGATGGAGGCTGCATGATGGAGGTTATGATGGAGGCTTTCTGATGGAGGCTGAACGATGGAGGCTACCTGATGGAGGATGCCTAATGGAGGTTGCCTAATCGAGGCTGCATGACGGAGGTTATGATGGAGGCTATGATGGAGGTTGTCTGATGGAGCCTGCCTGATGGAGGCTATGATGGAGGCTATGATGGAGGTTGTCTGATGGAGGCTGCCTGATGGAGGCTGCCTGATGGAGGCTATGATGGAGGCTATGATGGAGGCTACCTGATGGAGGCTTTCTGATGGAGGTTGTCTGATGGAGGCTGCCTGATGGAGGCTGCCTGATGGAGGCTATGATGGAGGTTGTCTGATGGAGGCTACCTGATGGACGCTGCCTGATGGAGGCTACCTGATGGAGGCTGCCTGATGGAGGTTGTCTGATGGAGGCTACCTGATGGAGGCTACCTGATGGAGGTTGTCTGATGAAGGCTGCATGATGGAGGCTATGAAGGAGGCTATGATGGAGGTTGTCTGATGGAGGCTGAATGATGGAGGCTGAATGATGGAGGTTATGATGGAGGCTTTCTGATGGAGGCTGAACGATGGAGGCTACCTGATGGAGGTTGCCTAATGGAGGTTGCCTAATCGAGGCTGCATGACGGAGGTTATGATGGAGGCTATGATGGAGGTTGTCTGATGGAGGCTGCCTGATGGAGGCTATGATGGAGGCTACCTGATGGAGGCTTTCTGATGGAGGTTGTCTGATGGAGGCTGCCTGATGGAGGCTATGATGGAGGCTACCTGATGGAGGCTGTCTGATGGAGGCTACCTGATGGAGGCTGCCTGATGGAGGTTGTCTGATGGAGGCTACCTGATGGAGGCTACCTGATGGAGGTTGTCTGATGGAGGCTGCCTGATGGAGGCTATGATGGAGGCTATGATGGAGGTTGTCTGATGGAGGCTGAATGATGGAGGCTGAATGATGGAGGCTGAATGATGGAGGTTGCCTAATCGAGGCTGCATGACGGAGGTTATGATGGAGGCTATGATGGAGGTTGTCTGATGGAGGCTACCTGATGGAGGTTGTCTGATGGAGGCTGCCTGATGGAGGCTATGATGGAGGCTATGATGGAGGCTGCATGATGGAGGCTATGATGGAGGCTATGATGGAGGCTATGATGGAGGCTGCATGATGGAGGTTGCCTAATCGAGGCTGCATGACGGAGGTTATGATGGAGGCTATGATGGAGGTTGTCTGATGGAGGCTGCCTGATGGAGGCTATGATGGAGGCTATGATGGAGGCTACCTGATGGAGGCTTTCTGATGGAGGCTGCCTGATGGAGGCTATGATGGAGGTTGTCTGATGGAGGCTACCTGATGGAGGCTGCCTGATGGAGGCTACCTGATGGAGGCTGCCTGATGGAGGTTGTCTGATGGAGGCTACCTGATGGAGGCTGCCTGATGGAGGTTGTCTGATGGAGGCTACATGATGGAGGCTACCTGATGGAGGCTGCATGATGGAGGCTGCATGATGGAGGCTGCATGATGGAGGCTATGATGGAGGCTACCTGATGGAGGCTGCATGATGGAGGCTGCATGATGAAGGCTGCCTGGTGGAGGCTATGATGGAGGTTATGATGGAGGCTTTCTGATGGAGGCTGCCTGATGGAGGCTGCATGATGGAGGTTATGATGGAGGCTTTCTGATGGAGGCTGAACGATGGAGGCTACCTGATGGAGGTTGCCTAATGGAGGTTGCCTAATCGAGGCTGCATGACGGAGGTTATGATGGAGGCTATGATGGAGGTTGTCTGATGGAGGCTGCCTGATGGAGGCTATGATGGAGGCTATGATGGAGGCTACCTGATGGAGGCTTTCTGATGGAGGTTGTCTGATGGAGGCTGCCTGATGGAGGCTATGATGGAGGTTGTCTGATGGAGGCTACCTGATGGAGGTTGTCTGATGGAGGCTGCCTGATGGAGGCTATGATGGAGGCTATGATGGAGGTTGTCTGATGGAGGCTTTCTGATGGAGGCTGAATGATGAAGGCTGTGATGGAGGCTGCATGATGGAGGTTATGATGGAGGCTTTCTGATGGAGGCTGAATGATGGAGGCTGTGATGGAGGCTGCATGATGGAGGTTATGATGGAGGCTTTCTGATGGAGGCTTTCTGATGGAGGCTACCTGATGGAGGCTGCCTGATGGAGGCTGCCTGATGGAGGCTGTCTGATGGAGGCTGTGATGGAGGCTTTGATGGAGGTTACCTGATGGAGGCTGCCTGATGGAGGCTGCCTGATGGAGGCTGTCTGATGGAGGCTGTGATGGAGGCTATGATGGAGGTTACCTGATTGAGGCTTTCTGATGGAGGCTGCCTGATGGAGGTTGCCTGATGGAGGCTGCCTGATGGAGGCTGCCTGATGGAGGCTGTCTGATGGAGGCTGCCTGATGGAGGTTGCCTAATGGAGGTTGCCTAATCGAGGCTGCATGACGGAGGTTATGATGGAGGCTATGATGGAGGTTGTCTGATGGAGGTTGTCTGATGGAGGCTGTCTGATGGAGGCTGTCTGATGGAGGTTGCATGATGGAGGCTGCCTGATGGAGGCTGTGATTGAGGCTGCATGACGGAGGTTATGAAGGAGGCTTTCTGATGGAGGTTGCCTGATTGAGGCTGCATGACGGAGTTATGATGGAGGCTTTCTGATGGAGGTTGCCTAATCAAGGCTGCATGACGGAGGTTATGATGGAGGCTATGATGGAGGTTGTCTGATGGAGGCTGCCTGATGGAGGCTATGATGGAGGCTATGATGGAGGTTGTCTGATGGAGGCTTTCTGATGGAGGCTGAACAATGGAGGCTACCTGATGGAGGCTTTCTGATGGAGGCTGCCTGATGGAGGTTGCCTAATGGAGGTTGCCTAATGGAGGTTGCCTAATCGAGGCTGCATGACGGAGGTTATGATGGAGGTTGTCTG